GCACATGTCTATAAGAATCTTCAGTGTGAAAGCAAAGTGATTGAGAATCTTTAATATATAATTAGTCCTACTTAGATTACTTACATTCAGATCAAGATTAAAAACATATTTGATGAAACTTGTAAATGTTTAAGTTTTTTTGACACTATTCATGTTTTATAAATTTAAATTTTTTTTAAAAAAATTTATATTTTTTAACCTTTTTTTTAACTTTAAAATGATCTAATAAATTTCGAAAAGTTTCAATTTTTAATTTTTTATAAATTTATTTTTTTATTTTTTTATTTTTTTATTTTTAAAAATAATTTAAAATTTTTAAAATAAAAATCTAAACTTTTCGCTTATAAATAGTAAAAAAAAAATACTGTATCAACTACGGCCTTACTCCATATTTATTTCTTTTTGTCTATTTTAATACAACGCGGTTCTCGAAATAAACTTGACCCCAAAAGCTAAAAAAAGAATCCGTCGCCAGTCAAGGTTCCGGCGTTTTCAGCCGACAGCAGATCGGAAAAAAAAAAAAAAAAAAAAAAAAAAAAAAAAAGGGTTCCGCAGGTACTAATTAACCTAGGCCGTCCCTACGTAGCCAAAAATTACCCCGAAAATCTTCATAGCTTTCTTCACTTCAATCTTGTAATAATTAGCTCCGGAGGGATGATCATCCATCTCCCTGTAAAACTGGATTCGATCACCAACTTGAAGATCATTGAAACGAACAAAATCAAGCCATTTGGAGCAGAAAACAGGCTTGGGGTGATTTTTCTTGCGGATTGAGCATTTGAATTTCCAGACTTTTCCTTGTCTTGATGCATCCCTAACCCATAAATCCACCGTGTGCCCTTCTTTGAAATCCGGCAGGGATGCAAGACTCGTCATCGGCACCGACAGCCTCTTCTGAACATCTGTTTTGGTTAGTGATTTTGAGAACATTGGTTTCATTTCTTAGGATCGTTGCTCTAAGTTTCATAACTTCAGTATGCTTTTGTCCTAGCTGTATATTTTATTTATAGGGCAAAAAAAAATTTGTTAAATTTTTAAAATTTAAAAAACATTCAGTATATATACTATTTGTCTGACCATTCTTTAGTGTTTATCCACAATAGCAACCACTCAACCACTATTCGAATCTTTGATTTTGACAATGAATATATATAGATAATTTTTTATATTATTTTTGAATATAATTCGATTTATTATTTAAATAATTAATTTTTTATTTATAATATAATTTAATGTATTATTTAAATAATTAATTTTTTTATTTATATAAAATTTATAATATTAAATATATTTATTTATTTAATAATATATAAAAATTATATAAAAAATTATTTCTATAATATTACTTTTTGACCTAGAATTATGTTCGGTGATAAGAATTGATTTAAGAAATTAGAGAGTGACGTAATAATGCTGTCGTGTGTGTTGCGTCACTCAAGTTGGTTTGCATTGAATATCTAGTTGAGGTCACAAATATGGAAGGGTCATACTTAACCGGCTTGGTTAGAGTATAATGCAAACAAAATTAAGATAAAGAAAATCAATTATATAATTTGATAGTAAAATTATTTATATTTTTAATTGTAAATTTATGGTTTAATTTCTAATATATATGCATAAACAAAAATAAACAGAATTAAAAATATAAATCAACCATTCATTCCATCCCATTAAGAACTTTTTATATTTTATTTCACAAATTATTATTTTATTTTTAAAGTTAGAATTATAGTTATTATCAGGTAAAAAAAATGTTAACATCATCATATGAAAGGTGAAAAAGAAGTCAAGGATTGATTGCCGCAAAGTTTGAAAGGAGGTGGTATCGGTCTGACAAAGGCAGAACTCGGCTATGTTCTGTATGAGTATGACAGCAGCTCTCACTTCATTAGAAGTTTCCATTTTTATTCCTTTTTAACACGCAAGGGCAGGCACATTGCGTTCAGACCAAAAGAATCAATACCGTACCGGTATACGTATTGGTTTTGTTACTGGAACGGTACGTATCGGATACCGAAATTTTTTGTGTACCGTTTCAAATTTATCGTTATAAAAATATTTTTATAAAAAAAATTAATGTAATTAAGGATAAAATTTAAAAAATCCTTTTGAATGAGTAACAATCCTTTTTTTTTCAACCATTAACCTAAATCCATTACAACCCAAACAAAGACACTTTACATGATTTAAATTAAAAACATTAAAATAATGATAATTATTAAATAA